TTTATTTTGACATATCTGAACTTTTTTTTCAAAGCAATCGTACTGCTTTAACTGCATGGGGACAAAATATAAAGCGCGTAAGCGCCGCGTCGCTGTCTAACGCATAAGCATTGATACGGAACCCATAGGAATGTTAACAAAATGTATACTTATTGTTAAAATCTCTATAAAATATCTGATAATTTGATGTGCATATGTCTAATGATCATTTTTGACCGCCAAATGGCTCATTTTTTTACTTTTTCCTCCATATCTCCGAAACCGCTAGACCTACCTTTATGAAAATATTTTATCGATTCTTCATCTTGTCAATACAAAAGAAATATTTTTTGAATTATTCAAATCGGACGCTCCGTTCTTTTAAAAATTGAGTTACCGTTTTCGGCACTTTTTGCCCCGTATCTTCGGAACGGCTAGACCTGCCTTCGCCAAAAACTAATCAGCACGTCTCCTTATCAATACGAATCGAATGTTTTTTGAATTATTCAAATCGGTTGATCCGTTTTCCCGAAATCGTCGACGAAAATTTGTATCCGCACATACATACACACACGTACATACATACACACACACCACACACACACACACACACACATACATCCATTTTTTCTAAGGTATGCCAAAATGTTCAGAAACCTCTGAAACGTAAAGATATATAAAAATTTTCATTTTTGATTTTTTTGCGATTACTATAACTTGCCCTACGGGAAGTTAATAATATTAAAATTAATATAAATAAAAAATAATATAAATAAAATTTCTGAATAATAAAATAATACTAGAAAATTAATAAAATATAACAAAATAACAATAATAGAAATAGTAAGATAATAATAATAACTAGTGGGGTGGGTGGCATCGTGCCTTAAGGCAAATTGCTGGAACTTCCCGTACCGTAACGAAATGTTCGAGGATTACTGAATGATTTCAAATAGATTATTATAAATATTGTAACATTGTCTAATATTTATAAATATTATATAAACTGAATTGCAGAGTTGAAATTATTTGTAAAGTATATTAGAACTATAGTCAAAATTAAAAATAAATATTTTCGATATACAAAAAACTAAAAAAAAAAAAAAAAAAATTCTTTTTCCAAAATCGATTATTTTGTTAAGACAAGCAGAAAGTTCTTTGAATCATTTAAATCGGACGCTTAGTTCACTCAAAAACTGCCATTTTTTACATATTTAGCTCCGTATCTTTAAAATGGCTGGGCCTGCCTTTGTCAAAAACTAATAAACACTTCTCCCAATCATTACTAATTGAATGTTTTTTAGATCATTCAAATCGCATACTCCGTTCTCTCAAAAATACGATTTCTATTTTCTGCACTCTTTGCTCCGTATCTCCGAAACGGCTGGACCTGTCTTTGACAAAAACTAATCAGCTCTTTTCCCTATCAATAGGAATCGGATGCTTTTTGAACCATTCAAATCGGTTGATCCGTGCGCCCTCAAACGTGACTGGAAATTTGTATCCACACATACATACACACACACACACACACACACATCCATTTTTTCTGAGGTATGCCAAAACGTTCAGAAACCTTCAAAACGTCGAGAAATGTAAAAATTTTCAATTCCGATTTTCGGCCCATTACAATAACTTACCCTACGGGAAGTTAATAATAATAATAACTAGTGGGGTGGGTGGCATCGTGCCTTAAGGCAAATTGCTGGAACTTCCCGTACCGTAACGAAATGTTCGAGGATTACTGAATGTTTTCAAATAGATTATTATAAATATTGTAACATTGTCTAATATTTATAAATATTATATAAACTGAATTGCAGAGTTGAAATTATTTGTAAAGTATATTAGAACTATAGTCAGAATTAAAAATAAATATTTTCGATATACAAAAAAAAAAAAAAAAAAAAAAAAAAAAAAAAAAAAAATGGAGAAATTTTTTTTTTTCAAAATCGATTATTTTGTTAAGACAAGCAGAAAGTTCTTTGAATCATTTAAATCGTTCTCTCGTTCTCTCAAAAACTGCCATTTTTTACATATTTAGCTCCGTATCTTCAAAATGGCTGGGCCTGCCTTTGCCAAAAACTAATAAACACTTCTCCCAATCATTACTAATTGAATGTTTTTTAGATCATTCAAATCGGATACTCCGTTCTCTCAAAAATACGATTTCTATTTTCTGCACTCTTGGCTCCGTATTTCCGAAACGGCTGGACCTGCCTTTGCCAAAAACTAATCAGCTCTTTTCCCTATCAATAGGAATCGAATGTTTTTTGAACCATTCAAATCGGTTGATCCGTGCGCCCTAAAACGTGACTGGAAATTGTATCCACCACATACATACACACACACACACACACACACACACACACATCCATTTTTTCTGAGGTATGCCAAAACGTTCAGAAACCTTCAAAACGTCGAGAAATGTAAAAATTTTCAATTCCGATTTTCGGCCCATTACAATAACTTACCCTACGGGAAGTTAATAATAGTGTTTACAAATGTCTATTTCCTTTCCATAATGGTAAAAGTAATCCATATCTCTGCGGATATGGAGTTTTGTCTCTTAGATTTTGTGGATTTAAATTTTGATCATAATGTGATTTAGTTTGTTCCTTACTATGTATTAAATTTTCACGAGCAAGTTTGTTAGCATGTAGCAATCATGGATTTCAATTCATGAACATAAGTGTCGTAATTATATTGATAATTGTTAGATTTTATTAAAGACAAAGGTAACTCTATTTTTCTACCAAAAACAATTCGAAAGGCGTGTAGTTGGTTGCGTCATGAATAGTGGTGTTATGAAAAAAACGGCATACTTAATGCATCTATCCCAATCGGTTTGAGTTTTATTAATATATGTTCTTAAGTTTTGTACATAATCCCTATGTATCCTTTCGCATGAGCCATTCGACTCTGGTCTATATGGAGAAGTTGTTAACCTTTTTATTTTTAATAATTTGCAAACATCTTTAAATAAGTTGCTAGTGAACGTAGTTCCCTGATCGGACAATATTTCTTTCCGAAGACCGAACTTTAAAACAATTTCTGATACAACTGCGTCTGCAACCGTTGCGCTCTCTTGGTTAGAAATGGGTATTGCGCCCGCAAATTTAGTGAGATCGCAAATGTATGTTAAGAGTCATTTATTTTCCGACTCAGAAATTGGATACGGACCACAAATGTCAATGCAAATTTTTTCAAAAGGTTCTCTAGCGGTAGTTGTAATTACTAAGGGTTGTTCACTTAATCTAGATCAGTGGTTCCTAACCTTTTCAATTTCACTACACCTCTGAACAAGTATGGGATTTGAGTTTACCCCTAGCTAATTTAAAGTTATTAAAATCGCACAAATTTGAACGAAAATATGTTTATTATCCAACTTCATTTATAGAACAAATGTTTGGTCTTTAATTGTTGCAAAATATTCTTCTTTTTTGTGTTCTCTGATTTTCAAGAAACAATCCAATTTCTTCTCGGAATTCGTAAACCCTACTTACAACTTTGCCTCCTGATAACCAACGTACGCCTGTACGCACGCCTTAGGGGGTGCCAAAACGAGTTTTGGAAATTAAATTTATGATATATTATAATACTTTTTATTATTTATATAAAATCTAGAAGACTTAATAAATTATAATAAACAATCTAACCTAACTAGGGATACGGAGACACAAAAAGCGTATTTATTTTGCAATGTGATATCAATAGAAACAATTAACAGATTAATAACTCAGCAAATTAGTAACTAACAACTCTGTTTAATGCTTAATCTGCTTATTCAATTTTTTCTTTGTTTGAAGTTACCGTGAAATTGAAAAGGAAATTATCTAGTGTTCAATCCCATAAGCGCAAACCTGCGAATGATTAAATTAATTATTGGGCATTATTGACGAAAATTTGCAAGCTGATTTAGTTTAAACAAATTATAATCGGGAATATAAAAAATGGGGAGTCAGTGCTTAGAAAATGACATGTTTATTCCGAAAAATTGAATTGTAACTTTTGTTTTTGTTGCAAATGTTTAGCATCTGATGAACTTTATGAAGGTTATGAAAATGTAACAAACATGAAAAATGAAAGCAAAATTTACTTTAGAACAAAAATCTTAAGGTCTTTTTTTATACCTAGTGCTGTCTATACTCTAAATTTAATTATAATTATCATTAGACATATGCATATCAAATTAACAGATATTTTATAAAGACTTTAACCCTTTCCACTCGCGAATTCCGAGATTTATATGAATTTTTCATACAAATCTAGGAAAATTCATGGAGCGGGGGCTTCCAGTGGAAAGGGTTTATAATAAGTACAAATTTTGTTTACATTTCTACGCGTAAAAATGTAAAACCGTAAATGGCGCGCTTACATATTTCAAATTAAAACATATTTCAAATTTAAACAAATTAATTTTTTTCAATTTTTTCAATTTTTTCAAAGCTTTTAAAACATTTAAATAACTTCTCCTTCGGGAAGTTAATAATTAGTAATAATAAAGTACATAATTATAAATTACAATTAAACACCATTTGTCAGTAGGCACTATTTTTTTAATATAATGAGAAAAGTCGACTGCCCGAGGCCAATTAATTTATGTAATTAAATTCATTACATAAGCTAAATTATCCTCGGTATTAAACTAGGTTCGTTCCATCTTCAGGACATTTGTCAAGAAACATGATCTTGATAAGATTTAAGCAAACAATATGTTTAAGAAAAGAAGGAGAAGATGGATTTTTTAATTAATAAAATTTTATTAATTTGCTTAAATCTTATCAAGATCTTGTTTCTTGACAGATGTCCTGGAGATGGAACGTACCTAGTTCCGAAACGTAAATAAATAAAAAAATGGTTTATTAAAAAACTTTCTCGTTTTTATTACTTTTTGAATTCTTTGTTCGAAGCTTTACAATATATATATATATATATATATATATATATATATATATATATATATATATATATATATATATATATATATATATATATATATATATTGCTCTAATATTTAGAAGTTAGAAATGCAGCGGTCGATTCTATGTGCATATTAGCGCTCCATAATTCTGAGTTTGCTGAAATGTCTTTGGATTTTCTTGTTGATATGTTTAATGATGAAATCGAAGATGTTAGATTGAAAGCCATAAGCAGTTTGTCTAAAATTTCTGAAAATATTGTACTGAGAGAAGATCAATTAGAAACAATTTTAGGAGCACTGGAGGTATTTTGTTCATTAAACATAGTCATATTTAAAGTTTTAAATAATATTATTGTCTGAATTTAAGGACTTTTCAGTCGAGGTACGAGAAGGGCTGCATGATATGTTGGGGTCATGTAATCTTGCAAGTGCAGATTGTTTACAAATGCTCTTAGAAAAATTATTGGACACATTGCAAAAGTATCCACAGGTTAATATTTTATTATATTTAATTAGACTCTATCTAAAAATCTTCAACAAAAATTTTCAACCGATTTTACATCCAGGATAAAGTCTCGACTTGGGGCTGTACAATGCGCGTTGGATCGAGACACCCATCATTTGTTTTGATGTTAGCACCTCAATTAATTCAGGTGCATCCTTTTCTCGAACAAGCAGAACCAAATATAGATGATCCTGCATGTATCCTTATAGTTTGTGTGTGTGTTTGTTTAATTGTACCTTCATACAATTCATCTGTTTTTTATGATGTCAGCTAAGTTTTTGGTCAGTTATATTTTTTAATTCATTGCATATAGTTTTAGTGAAAAACTACATATTTGTAATACTTGTCATATAACAATAGATTGTTGATGTTTAATAATAAACTTTGAAATAGATTAATTTATGAATTGATCTGTAGCAATAATTAAGGAATAATATTTCTATGTATTTGTAGCTTAGTTTAGCATTTCTAATGAGGACATTAGTTTCTGATAACCTTCTGTAATATATTTTACTTAATGCGTAATTAGATGTTGCAGTTTTAATAATGGTTTTGAATGCTGCACAATTTAGTAGGCCTTTGTTAGCCCTTTTTCCACAATATATTACTTGGCACTATGACTATTTACGAGATACAATGCCTCATAGAGTTCCACGGTTATTATTCTCCGGAGGCAACGACATTGAACGAAAATTGAAGGCGAATGTTGACTCACACAAGTTTCTTAAATTATTTATTGAACAAATTGATAATGCAATGGAAAACTGCACAAGAGAAAATTTGATATTGCTATTCAAAAGGGCGCAAACAGACCTTGAGAAGTATTGTCACAAATACTAGTTATACTAATTATTTTATTTAATGCATAATATTTTTAGATTAGCTGAAATTGATCTCGATATTTCTGGGCCAGCACAATTTATGAATATTTACATAAATGCACAATCTTTATTGATTAAATCATTAGATTGTCGTGAGGTTTATACAACTAATGGGCCTCCGACATTTATTATACTGCTTCTACAAAAATGTCAACAGTAAGTAATTTTTTGTTTTAAGTCATATATATATATATATATATATATATATATATATATATATATATATGTGTGTGTATATATATGATAAAATTGTTTCTTGGGAATCCATCCAGTAATTAAAAAACAGTTTTATTGAAAAATGTTTTTATTTAGAGAACATACGTTTCGGGTCTTGATTTGACCCATCTTCAGTGCTAAAATTAAATAATTTAGGGTTACAAATTAAAACAATATAATAATACATAATTACAGACAAAAATAAGTAAAACCAATGTATATGAAAGGTATATATGAAAAACAACCATAAAATAAACAATTGTAAAGAAACTCACGATACAAATACATTTTGAAAAATAACACAAAAACACACAAAATTGCACGAAAAAATAAATATGTTACAAAAAATTGATAAAACGTCGTGTTATGAAAATTTTTAAAAAATTGTAAAATTAAAATAAATAATATATTTTCAAATTTACTTTCAAATTCAAGATTCAATCATTCTTTTAATATGTCAAAAAAATCCTTCATAAAAAAATTCAATACTGTTTATTCAAAAAAGGCAAACGAATCCAAAATAAATATAAACCCTGATATCATCAATAAATGGGTAAAAAACATTTCCGATTTAGACATCCCATCCAATGTTTTGAACATTTTAGCACTTGGTCCTATATTTTCCATTCCACAACAGAAAAAATCGTTTAATTTTGTCAAAACACTTAGCTCTTTAGAATATAGTTTACGTAATTTAAAAGATATCAATGAAAAAAACCGCATTAAATCTATTTTTTGCAACCAACATAATTCATTTTTCAGATTTGACATTTCTAACATTTATCAACATAAAGAATTACTCAAAGACATCCACTTTTGCAAATCCTTTATCAAATAACACCCAGAAATTATTGTTACCAGGGCAGATAAGGGTAACATCACGGTTATCATGAACAAAATTGACTATATTTCCAAATCCATGTCCCTCCTAGCTGATGTAAACATTTACGAACCTATAAATTCAGATCCCACTGACCTTATAAATCGGAATACTTTGAAATTCATTGATTCATTTATAGAAAACAAGCAAATCCCCAAACCTCTCTCTCTACAATTAAAAACCTACAATCCCATTTCCCCAAAACTTTATTGTCTTCCCAAAATCCACAAAGATGGTTTTCTTCTTCGACCAATAGTTGCTGACTTAAATTCCCCTCTTTGCAAATTATCCAAATTCATTAGTTCAATTTTATCAATATCACTCATAATTAGGTATTTGATTTTTTTTATGTTTTTAATGGAAAGATCATATATAAGTTTTATAACAAAGTTTTTTTCTTTTGTTTTTTCTCGCAATAATTAAAAAGTTATACCAAATTAAAATTTGAGTTTGAATTCGGTATCGAAGAGCGCCGACAAATCCCGAACGAAGCCAAGCGCGTGTGATGTCATTCTGTTACGGGTGATCCATAGTAGTATACAGCTTTGAACATGTGCTATGCTTTGAGCTTTGTATAATATCGTTCTGTCATTGTTAAATATTCAAAAATATATAAAAAATGTCAAATGTAAAATGTTATCGCTGTTGTTTTGTACCATTATGTACAAATACCAATGAAAGAGTTTGATTTTCTCAAACCTCATGCGGTTGTTAATCATAATATGGTACCTTTAATATTTGTTATCATCGCAGCAGCACTAGAGAATTTACAAACACCTATAATTTCAAGTTAAATTTAGAAGAATAAGAAGAAGAATATTTAAGAAAATTTTCATGACAAAAGAAATGGCTAAATGTATATTTCATATATTTATTATTTTATTTGTTTATTATACATTTATCGTTTATTGCATTTGTATCATATCATCAAAATATATTGAATAATAACTAATTAAGACTTTAACTTTATTAACTTTCTACAGAGTTGAACAGCTTTGGGTATATATTTTTGGACCAGAATACTATACATTTTTTAATGAGATCTTGAGTGTTTGCATCATCATATTTCAATACGCTAACATATTTTTTTTGATCGTCTCAAAGTTTTGATCGGCAACACAAAAGATTCCCTTTCTTATACCTGTCATTAACAATTGCAGTTGCATTTGAGCATTACACTTTAAGCTTATTTTGCCCTTCGGCATTATATTCGGCATTATATTATATCGAAGATGAGCGTGATTTTTGACTCATTAATTATTAATGTAACTAAATAGGCTTTGCTTCGAACTCGATTTTCTGGAGATACACGTGCTTTTAAAATACAAATTCCATTTTTACGACTAAGTTGAGCATAACCCACAGCTTTGTCGCCGTAACTTTCACGCGATGCTCTAAAATTAATTTATTAGGTAATTATATTCAATATAAAATTAATACTTAAATATTGTGATTTATAATATTTTTTAACAGACTTACATGAATGCCTTGGCGTCTCGAACTTCCGCAGAATTAAACCGAAAATCATTTTTTAAAAATTCGGCTACCATAAATATATCAATATTAGGAACATTATCAGAATTTGCTTTTATAAATCCTTTATCACACATAGTTGAACTAAATTAACTTCAACAAATCGTTTTTAAAGGAAAATTTACCACGTGTTTATCAAGTTCCGTAAAATATAGTCGTAAGCTGCACTAATAGAGTAACGGCACTGCGCTGTTATGAGGTTGCAATTACAATCTGACGTCACAGACACGGTAGCCAATCGTGGCGCGTTACGGTCACATGACTAATTTTTGAATTTAATCAATTTTTAAACGTATCAATAAATTTAATAATGTAGTTTTAAAGCGCATAAAAATAAATATATTTGTTTTTTCAAATTCCCAATTCTCCCCATTTTTCAAAAATTCTTTCGAACTCATTCCCAAACTTAACTCCCTCAATATCTACCATCTGATTTTTCCTTTATAAGTTTAGATGTTGTTTTCCTCTTCACTAACATTTCACCTGAACTTATTCTCTCTGCCATAGACCATAAATGGGTTGATATTAGCAAACACACAGATTTCAATTTTTCTTGGTTCCTGAAATGTATTAATTTCATTATTTCCAATACTTATTTTTCGTTCAACGACTCCTTTTTTGAACAAAAATTTGGCACTCCAATGGGTTCCAGTTTGAGTGCCCCACTTGCTGAACTTTGTATGCAGTTCCTAGAGAACTTTACTCTTAATACCTTGTCTTATGCACCTCTTTTTTACAAACGTTACGTTGACGACATTTTAACTTGCATTCCTACTTATAACATAACCAATTTCCTAAATTCTTTTAATAATTTCGACACACACCTTTGTTTTACCTTAGAGACTCAACTTAACAACTCCATTAATTTTTTAGATATCACCCTTTTTATAAATAACGGCTCCATCACTACATGTTGGTATCAAAAATCCACTTGGTCTGGACGTTATTTAAACTACCAATCCTATCACCCCAAATCGACTAAGATTGCATCTATCATCAACTTACTAGATCATGCCATCCTTCTTTCTCATCCATCACATTGGGAAAAAAATATTAATTTGATATATTCTACCCTTCAAAATAATTCCTATCCACTACAACTTTTACGCTCAGTATTAAATAATAGGTTACCTTTTCTTCGTAATAAATTCCGTACATCTTCCTTATTTACCTCCCAATCAGAACAAAATAGTAGCATTTCACAAACCCTTAACCCTGTTCCTGAAAATTCACTATCTCTCAATTCCTTCATCTCATTACCGTACATTGACTGCCTTTTTCACTCATGGAAAAAACTTTTTTCATCCGCTGGTCTGTTCGACTGGACTCTCACAGACTTATACACTAATTTAAAAACTCCTACCCCTATTTCCCGCACGTCAAACGCCGTATATGTCATTGATTGTAATGATTGTTCAAGTTGTTATTTTGGCGAAACTTCACAATTTCTCTCAAAAAGAATGCACCAACACGAACTTAATAGTTTAAACAGGAAACAAAATAAAACCATGATCACCGAACATGTCTCCAACTTTAAACATTCTTTTAATTTCACCAATCCAAGAGTTATTCATCGAGAAGCCAACACTTTACGCAGAAAGTTCGCTGAGAGTATTTTCATACAAATATTACCTGCTATTAACAAACGTTTTGATTCGGCTTCTCTTTGCAATATTAACCGCGATGCTTCGAATAATTTTTTCAATATGCGCAATGCATCCTAACACTTCTTTTATGCATATATATGTATGTATGTGTATATATGTGTATATGTATGTGTTTGCATATATATGTATGTATATATGCATTTATTGTTTTGCGTATATATTAATACATATATATGTTATGTTATAATTTTTTGTATAATAACTTGTTCCATAACTAATACCGTTTTCAGTTAATATCTTTACTTTTTCTTAAGAAATTTCTCTTCATCACATATTTTTTCATTTTTACATTGTCTATCATGGTTTTATTATGTTGCTATATTTTCATTTTGATCCACATATTATGTTTAACCGTTGATTATGGATTGCTTACACATTTGTATTTTTTCTATGTTCCTACTGCGCATGATCGCTGAGAAAATCTTTGTAATATGAAACCACTAAAATTCTCTCTATCCCGTTCTCTCATCCAATGACGATACAGTTTCCACTATTTTCCGCAAACACTTAAGGTGCGTCCACACCTAACGAACGAACACGAACGAACATGTCGAACGAACATGTCGAACAAGAAAATACAAAGAAGAACGAACAGGTACACGAACGAACGCAAAAAAATCCAAACAAACGCCTCAAAGCAGTGAGGGCTTGAATCTTTTTGTTCGAGGATGTACCGTGAAACGTCAGATTTATTATTTAAAGTGGCGAGAAAGAGCAAAATTATTTAAAGTCATCAATTTTACAAGATTTGTCAATAACATCAATATCTTATTATAAACACAACAAAAACTAATGCAGGACTGCACATTTTTACATCAAAAAAGAAAAATGTTTGTCTACATTCGTGGTAGCGTCCACACTGCACATACGAGAACAAACATGAACGAACAATTCCCTTTGATGTACCGACAAGTTGCGGAACATTGCTCGCCATGTTTGTTTATGTTCGTTCGTGATCGTTGTGGCGTCCACACTATGCTGTTGCCGTTCGTTCTGGTACGTTCATTTATGTTCGTTCGTGTTCGTTCGTTAGGCGTGGACGCACCTTTATAATAAACACAACATAAACTAATGCAGGACTGCACATTTTAACACCAAAAAAGAAAAATGTTTGTCTACATTCGTGGTAGCGTCCACGCTGCACATACGAGTTCAAACATGAACGAACAATTCCCTTTGATGTACCGACAAGTTGCGGAACATTGCTCGCCATGTTTGTTTATGTTCGTTCGTGATCGTTGTGGCATCCACACTATGCTGTTGCCGTTCGTTCTGGTACGTTCATTTATGTTCGTTCGTGTTCGTTCGTTAGGTGTGGACGCACCTTAACACATTTTCCAAACTGACAACATGTTCGTTTGGGATAAGCTTTTTTATAATAAAATATATTATTTATTTTAATTTTACAATTTTTTAAAAATTTTCATAACTCGACGTTTTATCAATTTTTTATTACATATTTATTTTTTCGTGCAATTTTGTGTGTTTTTGTGTTATTTTTCAAAATGTATTTGTATGGTGAATTTCTTTACAATTGTTAATTTTATGGTTGTTTTTCATATATACTTTTCATATACATTGATTTTACTTATTTTTGTCTGTAATTATGTATTTTTTATATTGTTTTAATTTGTAACCCTGAATTATTTAATTGTAGCACTGAAGATGGGTCAAATCAAGACCCGAAACGTATGTTCTCTAAATAAAAACATTTTTCAATAAAACTGGTTATTTCATGGTGAAATAATATGATAAAATTGTTATTATATATATATATATATATATATACTAGTCTTTAATTATGATTGACTTTTATAATCTCTGATAAAATCGTATACATAATATTTTTGATAAATGTTTTGTTATAGTTCATTAAATTTTACTCATAATCATTTAATTCATAATAGTTTATATGTTGAAAGCATTTGATGTATCTTAGTTCAGAAACGTAATTATGTTTGTTAAATTTTTCCATTCTTTGCCAATTTGAAACTGTAGGATTAAGTATGAGCATTTATTCCAGTTCTATTTTTCATATTGATTTATATCTTTTTAAGATTACAGCATATGTTTGCTGGGTTATCCATAGAAATGATGGGATATGTCAGGCAATTGTGTCTAAAAGCGTGCGCCATGCATTTAGCTGCAACTGTTCGAGATGATAAATACTCCGCGCTCTCATCCTGCCAGACATTTCTAACATTATGCAAAGACATTAAACAATATTTAATGCAATATAGTAAGTTAAAAAAGTATTTAGAAAATTCAATTTATATGATTTGAAAGTAATGGATTTATGGGGTGTATCTTCTTATATATAAAAATGGAGCTCAGTATTATGTTATGTACGGTAAAACGTTAAAATGGCTGTACGGATATGTCTTAGTTTTAAAAAATTCGTGCTAATCCATAGGTTGTGGGAAAGGTGAGATATTATTTCAAAACCGCGTAGAAACGTGGCATTTTTAATTTGAAAATTTTTATCGTAGCATAATCTAAAATGAAACAATGGACGTCAAATGTAGTGCCATAACAAATGGTTTTGGCAGATGTTCAATTACATTTAATAGGATGTTTTAGAATATTATTTAATTGTAGTAAGTAGTTTTGTTTGCAGTTTTATTTATACACAAAAATGTTATTAAACGGTCCACAAGTGTTATTAGAAACTCAAAATATCGACTTTTTTTAAATGTTAATATGAAAATGCACTTTTTGGCGATAGCACTCTTTTTTGTAAATCATATTTTTCTCTTTCTCAAACTCGATGCTCTGAAAAAACTCATTTGTATAGTTTCATACTCATTGGTATTCATAAAACATTTTCTAGATTATATTATTTTTTTATTTAGGTTATTTAATTAAAAACCTAAATTAGGAATCGATCAATGGGGAACATTTTGTCGAATAACTTATTCCCATTTATAATATAATATTCCCAGACCACAATTTAAATAAGAAGATTTGGTTGATAATATATAACTTTGGAACAAACGCCTGTAAAAATGATAATCCACAAAATTACAAGTTCTCTGGAATGAACTATTTTGAAAATTGATTATATAGATCGCATTCTATTAGACGTATCAACTGTTTCAGTATTAGAACGAGTTTAGCAGAAAAACTAGCTGTAAGTGGAATTCTGTCTTGAGGCAATTATGGCATCGTGCCTTAAGGCAAATTGCTGGAATTTCCCGTAAAGTAACGAAATGTTCGAGGAATACTGAATGTTTTCAAATAGATTATTATAAATATTGTAACATTGTCTAATATTTATAAGAATTATATAAACTGAATTGCAGTATATTAGAACTATAGTCAGAATTAAAAATAAAATCTGAAATATTTTCGATATACAAAAAACTAAAAAAAAAAAAATCGGAACAAAATTTTTTTTCCAAAATTAATTATTTTGTTAAGACAAGCAGAAAGTTCTTTGAATCATTTAAATTGGACGCTTAGTTCTCTTGAAAACTGCCACTTTTTACATATTTAGCTCCATATCTTCAAAATGGCTGGGCCTGCCTTTGCCAAAAACTAATAAACACTTCTCCCAATCATTACTAATTGAATGTTTTTTAGATCATTCAAATCGGATACTCGGTTCTCTCAAAAATTCGATTTCTATTTTCTGCACTCTTTGCTCCGTATCTCCGAAAAGGCTGGACCTGCCTTTGCCAAAAACTAATCAGCTCTTTTCCCTATCAATAGGAATCGAATGTTTTTTGAACCATTAAAATCGGCTGATCCGTGCGCCCTAAAACGTGACTGGAAATTTGTATCATACATACACACACACACACACACACATCCATTTTTTCTGAGGTATGCCAAAACGTTCAGAAACCTTCAAAACGTCGAAAAATGTAAAAATTTTCAATTCCAATTTTCGGCCCATTACAATAACTTACCCTACGGGAAGTTAATAATTCACTATGTTCATATTTTTAAGTCCTGACAAATGTCCTACAATTTTGAAGATTTTATTTTCTAACATATATCAAAATCTACGCATTTTAGACACAGTCAGGCATCGTTCACGTTTCATTAAATTAAGTAATCTACAAATTGAAAAAATTAAAAATCTCTGGAAGTATTAAATTTGATAATGCAATGTAAAATATAATTCACTAATGGTTGTTTTCCATTAATTTTGAAGAATAAACTGGCGAAATTTGCTATGAATTTATCGAAGAATGAATAGTAATATATGAAGGTCAGGGGTTAAAAAGGTCCAACATCGATATTTCAAAACCCAGTAAAGCTAAACATTGTTTAACAAAAATATTTGAAAGTAGAGGCAAAAAGATGTAAAACCAGCCATTGCCTTGGTTTTTATGACTTTTTATGGTTTTATGGTCCGGTTTTATGACCGGAAAATAAACAGTAATCTTCAAAATTCCATAACAAAAGTATATTCTTTCGTTAATTTGTTAGGTTGTGAGCACAGCACTGTTGCTTAATATAATTTTTAACTATACGATATTTAATTGTTTTATAAAATGTAATGTTAATTTTAAGTGAGACTCGACAGTTTTTTATATAACCATTTTAAGGGGCACAACTAGTGTGAAATTTTCAAACAATCAATTTTTTCATTTTTTCATATATCGATAGGTTATACCTTTAAAAATAACATACCAAAATTTTAAATCAATATCTTAAATAGTTTTTGAGTTACAGTCATTTAAAGAGTATATATATATAGTATATTATATAGTATAACGATCATTTTATCTTTAAACGCGTTTTTCTCGAAACAGCATTTTCCGAATTTGCTGCAGTGATTACTCAAAAACAAATTATCCGATCACTACTAATTTTTTTGCATGTTCTATATATAGTTCTCCGTAAAATGAACTAACGATTATTTGATCGGATCAAAAATCGAATTTTGGCAGTTCAAAAACGACCAAAATTTTGGGTAAAATTCGACTTTTTTCTTAATACGCTGTCATTTTGTTCATTTTTGATCTTTTTTTTATCGTAGTTCATTTTACAGACAATATTATCTAGTTTAATGAGTTTTTTTTTAAATTTCATCCACGTAGAAGGCCGGAATCACTGCAGTGAAGGGCCTTTTTTTCGCGCCGTTGGAGATCGACGATAATTTAAAAAATATTTAATTTTTTTCTTCAAAAATTTTACTATGTATTCTTAAAGCATGTGTAAATATATTCTTAAAATTTTGAAATGATTGATAAAGTTTTTTTTTTTTAATATAAATTCCCAAAAATCACCTTTTTTAGGCGATTACACTAGTTGTGCCCCTAAAAAGCTTACACCTGAGCGGGGTAAAAACGACCAACTGAACAATAACGCTGGCAAAGGTGTAAAAAATAAAAAATAGAAAATAAAAAAGTAAATTAAGGTAAATAAAGCAATTTTACAAAGATTAATTATTATAAATAGTTATTTCAACTCTGCTGATAAATATTTCTGACGAAATACCAGATCAAGGTTATTTGCAGTGTTCTGTGTGTGCAAAAATTGCACCAATGGAACCTATACTTTGCATTAGATGAATAATGTACTTATTATTAACTTTCCGTAAGGGCAAGTTATAGTAATCACAAAAAAATCGAAAATGAAAATTTTTATATATCTTTACATTTCAGAGGTTTCTGAACATTTTGGCAGATCTTAGAAAAAATGGATGTATGTGTGTGTGTATGTGCGTGTATGTGTGTGTGTGCGGATACAAATTTTCGACGGCTATTTCGGGAACACAGATGAAGCGATTTGAATAATTCAAAAAGCATTTGATTCGTATTGATAAGGAGACGTGCTGATTAGTTTTTGGTGAAGGCAGGTCTAGTCGTTGCGAAGATATGGGGCAAAAAGTGCCAAAAACGATAACTCAGTTTTTAAGAGAACGGAGCGTCCGATTTGAATAATTCAAAAAACATTTTGCTTGTATTGACAAGATGAAGAATTGATCAAATTTTCATGAAGGCAGGTCTAGCTGTTTCGGAGATCTAACAAAAAAATTAAAAAAAAAATGCCATTTGGCGGTCAAAAATGAACATTAGACATATGCACATCAATTTATCAGATATTTTATAGAGATTGTAACAATAAGTATAAATTTTGTTTGCATACCTATGGGTTCCGTACTAATGTTTACGCGCTAGACGGCGACGCGGTGCTTATGCGCTTCGATATTTCGTCTTTATGCAGTTAAAGTAGTACGATTGCTTTGAATAAAAGTTCAGAATTTCCAAAATATTTCAAAATAAATGATTTAAGATAGAATGAATTAATATGGTTCGAAATTTTATTAAAAGTTTCAAATCATTGATCAACTTTTATTGTTTATTATTGATTATTTTTAATTCTCGAATTTTGAATTTCGGTACAGGAAGTTCCAGCAATTTGCCTTAAGACACGATGCCTCAATTGCCTTAAGACAGAATTCCACTTACAGCTAGTTTGTAAATAATTCGAGTGCTAGACACGGTAGTGTTAACATCGATGAGTTGTTATTATCAAACAGTGGCCATTTTCAATCCGACCACAGTGTACACCTGACTACAGTAAACCCTCGCTTTACGCGGCAAGTGCGTACCGTGCAGTATGTGAACCGTGCTATGAGAGGCTCAGAGTTAGTACAAATCGCACCATTTTTATCGTGCTGTATGGAGATCAGGAAATACAACTTGAAGTAGGAGTAATGCGGACGATATGACATGTATGACATTGACACCTTATTCAAAAATTGGCGCGACACAGTCAGCTCAAACGTGTTCTTAGGCAGCTATTATATAATCAGGCATGTCTAAAAGATAAAAGTCGATAACAAAATTTACATCAATACCCGTTTGCACAACGAACTTATGGGCTGTTGACCAAATACCGTGTAATAAGAAGTCCGTGTAGTCGGAGGGATGTCGGATTTTTAGCTCCGTGTAGTATGGGAACCGTGTACCCAGAGTGCCGTGTAAAGCGAGGGCCTACTGTATTTGCATGATCCCCTTGCGGGATCATACACAATAGTGTCAATAACAATACCGTTACTAATGGTCTGAGAGCTAGCAACGTTTTCGAGAAAGCATTTTCAGGATGATTTTTTGGTATGTGGTCCTTGGGGCTCTCTCGGTTAGGGCAAGGGCCGTCTGGCAGCTGGGAGTAGTTGCGTATATTATTGCGCACCCAATTTGTGCATTGCGATTTTGAAATTTTGAAACCATTTTAGTCAGTCCAATTTTCATTAAATCGACTTCGATTAGTTTTAAATAGACTCACATTTTTTGTTACCAGACATTGTGGGCGCTGCCAAATATGTGCCAGACGCCATATTATTTATTAATTTTTTTTTAAATTTTAAATCATTTTAGTCTGTCTGAAGTTTTAATATTATGTTCGTTAAGGGTAAAAACACATAAAATAAATTTGTCAGACATTTCTGCGGTTTTTAAACATGTCTGGCAATGAACTAGTGGGGCGCATGGCATCGTGCCTTAAGGCAAATTGCTGGAACTTCCCGTAGCAAAAATTATTTTTTTAAAAAGATTTTCTTAGGTGTATACACCTAAGTCTGTTTTTACACGGTCTTTTTGTACACGGTTTTGATATAACACGGTTTGAAAATTGAATATTTTTAATTTTTTTACACTATTTTATTCCATTTAGCACGATTTGAAATTTTATGTACTTACATTTATTTTGTCAAATTTAAATTTTGCGAAGTATGTTCATATCACAAAAAAAGTATTTATGAAAGAAAAAAGTCTGAAACCATCGATAGTATCGATAGTTTGCGAACACTAGCTTAAAGATTTAAGTGAATTCCCCTTTAACGGGCACAAACAATTTTTACTGGTCAAAGCAAATGTGAATAGCACTAATTTAGGGGAATTCCCTTTATGTGCATACAATAAAATTTACTGGTCAGATTTAAGTGAATTCCTCTTCAGCGCGTACAAACTATTTTATTTTATTTTTTACCTTAAAAATTGAATAACCTATTCTTTTCGTTTACAACATAGTTTTTTAGATCCTGAACTTGCCATACATTTAATTTATATTACTTTTAAGATTAGAGTGCATATCTTTTTTATCATTAATTACTATGCTTGTGAAAATAAGCATTATATATTTGATTTAATAAAATAAACATGAATTCTTGTCCTTAAAAATTCTTTTTTTTCACTAATTTTAATAGGTTTTAGAGATTAGGAACAAATCACCCATTTTTGTATAAGATCAATGTCCTTTTTTACACGGCTTCTTCTGGAACCAATCTACCGTGTAAAAACAGACTTAGGTGTATATATATTTATACAAGGCCCATCCTGGGGTTCTCAGCGCCCGCATGCAATTTTCTTTCTAGCTACTTATATATATAAAATTTTCTTTGATAGATATAGTTCCAGATGTTTTCACAGCCCAAGTATTTGAACAATTAACCCAACTGGAGAATGATTCTCGTGGTACTAAGGCACTTTTGCCAGGACCAGTTGGCAGAGCACTTATGCCAATTCTACAAAATAGTAAACTTGACAAATTACCAATACCTGAAAGAAATGTGAGATAATAAAAATGTTTTTGCTGTAAGTACTTTATTTTAAAATATTATTTATTTTCCAGATACGTATTACTTATGCAAAAATGTATAAGCCAACAGGACATTTAGATGCCACAATACAAGTAACGGCAGGATTGATAGCATCTGTTGACTTACATGCTGATGTATATAATATTGTTGATATAAACAGTTTGCGAATATTTGTTAAATATCCAGATCAAAGAGTGCACATGTTACAACCAAGAAAAGGGCACATCAAACCGTTGCCAGAATATGAAGGTATTGAAAGTAAAGAAATATTTTTTGTGTTTAATAATTGGCAATAAAATTATTTATTTTTTAGGATCTGGGTATCGTGTGAGAACTACTGCTCTCCTATCCCATGGAGTTTGGTCAGAATCATGCCATGTCAATGTCGGTTTATGTTTGGCTCCACCGTATTTATTTGTCAGTCAATTAACGAGCAACATTGCAACACATGAAGGTTTGCAATTATGTCAGCCTGTGCAAGTCGGATTATCTCCCAAACCCATCAAAAGAGGAATTTAAAATGTATCTTATCACCTGAAATAAATAAGTCAAATAAAAAAACTTCTTTTAATACATTTACATCGGAGATACATTTCAAATTTACAATTAATTTACATGATTCATAAATTGTGATATAAACCATAATCAACCAAAGAACACGGTTTACAGAAAATTGGAATGTATAATTTGTATCAATGCTTTATATATTTGACTCCTGACAATCTTAATTATACACCTACACATAATTTTCTATACACTATGGCTAGGCTTCTCTCAAACTCTGATCCAAAGTTTAGGGATATATGAAATCACGTCCATCATTATTTGAATATAATTAAAGTTTGTGTTTAAAATAAATTCAAATAAAACAATTCAGGAATATATACAATTATATATAATATAGGGATGGTAGTTTCCATATTTGCAAATTGGAAATAAATATTACTATGATTTATTACATTAAAAATAATTCAACAAAAAAAATTCAGATATGTAACGCACCTGTACACACAATTAGCAATAGGAAAATCTAGCCACAAATATTTTTAACAATTTATTTAATACTTATGTTCTAGAAATACAAAGTGTAAAGTTCAAGGTTTGTATAGCTTAATAAAGTAAACATTTTAAAATGTAATGAATTTATCTGCAAATAGTCAAAATCAAAATTACTATATAATGATTATTGAAATAATGCTTTTATAGATTGCATTTCAATCTGTATTAAATTGTATGTAAATCACAGCACAAGATCTAACACACAATTCATCTAACAGAAAGAACTAAATAATTTTAATGTTATTAAAAATTACATATAAAATAACTTTTACAATAAAGTAACCTTACATGAGATGTGTTGATTTCAGATACTTTTCATACAACAGTGCTTTCTGTATAAACAATATAATATAAATAACGGTACAGCCACTATATTTTTAAGTGTGAGTGGCAAAAATAATAGACAGACTGCACTGCTGCATATATATTAGGGGATTTGGGAGGCAGGCGACTTGTGTATCTTGAAATCCATAATAATTTGTTTATTTGGTGTAGAGGTAGATGGCTACGATAAGACCATATAGACCCAATACTTCAGCGAAGATCAGGATCAAGATCATTCCAACAAACAGACGAGGTTGTTGGGCTGTTCCTCGTACTCCAGCATCACCAACGATTCCAATCGCAAAACCCGCCGCCAAGCCGGAAAATCCTACGGCCAAACCAGCGCCGAGATGTATGAAGCCCCTGAAATAATGCGTTATTTAGTAAGTTTCTGTAGTTAATAATTGGAGAAAAATTGAGTTTTTGCACAAAAACTAAAAAATGGCTTGTGCACACTCCATTTATAAGTTACAATTTCCAAAAGCTTATAGTTGATTGTAATTTCTGGTAAATTTTCTTTGGTAAGTAAATAGACTTTAAAAAGACAGCAATTTTACTGAGCAATTAATTTCAATAAGACCAAATTGATGCTGAATATTAAATTGAAACATAAACCTCTAATAATCTATATGTATGAAACTTTCTGAATTCAATTCAAGCATCTTTCCTCATTAAAAAATTTCCATTGAGTTCAATAAAATTCATTAACATGATAACTCTCAACTATAAAAGTTGAGATGAAGATATAAAAGTTAATTCAAAATAAATTCTTCAAAATTTTATCTGTCAATATCAAGTATCAGAATTTCAGCACAGTGATAAGTATTTGTAGCTTACAAGGACAAAAGATTTAGCAATAAAGCATAGTATAATAACTGCATTACTATATAATTATTTGCAAGAGGAGTTATTATAAGAACTAGATTCGATTCAAATCAACACAACTATTTGAATAAGTAAACCAATTTATATTACTTATAAAGTGAGTAGGTTTTTGGTTCCTCCAGAGCACCCGCAATCAGTACCGCAACAACCAGGCCGTAGATAGCAATGATACCAGCCATAACAACTGGAATGATTGATTTCATGATCAATTCAGGTCTCATCACGGACATAGCGGCGATACCAGTGCCGGACTTGGCTGTTCCATATGCGGCACCCAGTGCTGAAAAACAAAAATATTTTAAGTTCCAATGTTTCATGAGCATGAAACAAATACATACATATGCATCCTATATTCGGATCCATGTACATGAGAGAAACTATGAACAAGTATCAGATGTAGCAACATGAAAAGGGTACATTTTTTTTCTTTTTGTAAAAAGTTGGTAGTACTAACAAAGTAGTGCATTAATAATTGGTAGTCCAATGGCGTTCAAATGTCGATAAGACATGGTTGTCATTAACGATGAAGTTTTAAAACCAATATTGGAATATAAATTAATATAGCCTTGTATACAACAAGATCTATACCAAATAATGAGAAACTGTGTGCTTGTGTTAAAGGTAAAATATATATCCATACATGTAAGGCAAGTTAATTATAATTTTCTTATCAGGACTATTACTAAAGATAAAACATATTCCTGTTCATAGAAGCAGGTTATCCATAACACAAAATTAGTTTTAATTATTGACTCACTACAGATAGATATTCTCAACAAATTTTATTTATGAACATTTTTTATTAAAAAATAATTAACGTTTTATGTTCTGTAAAAGAGAATAGCAAGCGAAGCTTGCTACTACATACATAAAAGTAAGTCCTAATGGCCCACAACCTAAAATAATTTTCATAATTAAACCTCTTTTCGAAGACCTATATTGTAAGACGTTCGTTTCATTAAAATCAATAAAAAAAAATCAACTATTATAAAGAAATGACTTGACCAACCTTTACCAAACAAAGTAATTTAAAATCGGTTCAGGATTTTTAGCGAAAACGTTTCTACTGTTAAAATTATGAAGTGTCAACCGATAAATGTGGGGTAAGTAAAATTATCAAATTGGATTTTATACCAAAAATATAAATTTTAACTAATAGAAGTTAATTGGTCGTCGTTTCAAATTCATAATTTCTACCATTTAAATAACTGGTAAGATTGTTTTGTACATAACTTATACTAAAAGACTTTAGTTAAACCTATATTTGCAATACAATACTATAGGAATAATTGTAAAATTACTTTAGATATATACTATAATATTTATATTCGGAAATATATTGATTGGCGATGAGTTTGCAATGAATTGTGCATTAACTTATGTAACTTGAAATTAATTTAATAAGAATATTGTTATTGATCTCGCATAGTAGATATACGTTTAACTGATTCATTTGTGACAAACTAGTTTAGCAATCACTAGCAACTAAATTTAGACAGTACCGTTACACTGTTATATTAAAGTGGACTCAAATCTATAAATAAAACACCGTTTCTCATGATTTTAATAATACAAACAAAATTTTACAGGCAAACATTCTTTCATAATAAACCTTGCAAATATATATTATGTAATATACACATATATACCCATAAATATTGTTATGCACATACATACACCCGCAATATTTATCTATATAAATAAATACATACATATAAATATAATGAATCAGCGTGTACGGTAAAATTTATTTAGTAAAACAATGGGCAAAACTGGTTCAGCATTAAGGTTTAAGGATATATAACAAATTAGTAGATTCTTGAAACAAATGCAATAGTGTTGCAAACACTTACAAATTATACCTGCAAGCTAAAACTGGAATGACAAAAATATTTACTTGCGAGTGAATACAAAATCACGCACCTACAGGGCAGGGTAAGTTATAGTAATCGCAAAAAAATCGAAAATGAATTTTTTTTATATATATTTACGTTTCAGAGGTTTCTGAACATTTTGACATGCCTTAGAATAAATGGATGTATATGCGTGTGTGTGTGCGGGTACAAATTTTCGTCGACCATTTCGGGAACACGGTTCAACCGATTTCAATTATTCAAAAAAACATTCGATTGCTGTTGATAAGGAGACGTGCTAATTAGTTTTAGGCATAGGCAGGTCTAGCCGTTTCGAAGATACGGGTCAAAAATGCAACAAACGGTAACAGTTTTTAAGAGAACGATTTTAATAATTCAAAAATCATTTTACTTGTATTGACAAGACATTTTCATGAAGGCAGATCTAGCGGTTTCGAAGATCTAGTGAAAAAAATAAAAAAAATTCCATTTGGCGGTCAAAAATGATCATTAGACATATGCACATCAAATTATCAGGTATTTTATAAAGATTTTAATAATAAGTATAAATCTTGCTTACATTCCTATGGGTTCCGTACCAATGTTTATCCGTTAGACTCTATGCACTCAATTGCTTTAAAATAAAGTTCAGAATTTCCGAAATATTTCAAAATAAACAACTTTTCCAAAATGTTTTTTTTCAAAAAAAGTAAATTTTTATCAAAAATTTATGGTTTTTCAAAAATCTAATTTTTTCAAAATATTTTTTTTTTCAAAAATGTTTCTTTTAAAAAAAATAATTTTTCATATGGGAAGTGCCAGCAATTTGTTGGATAAAATTAGTAAGTATGTATATGCGTACACATGAAAATTTAGCTTTTTTGAATATAATCAAGTAGAAGTATTTGATAGTTTCAAATAACTTATTTTTATTGCCATAAATTAAATTTAGAATCCTTTATGACAACAACAACCTTTTACAGTGAAAATGAAAAAAAAATGAACATACTATTATTCGACGGCTTATAATATAAAGCTAACATAAAATTAATCATTCCCCATAAAATGATAAGGATGGTACAATACTATAGTAATTCTTAAAAGAATTTTAAATGATATAGTTTATTCATACATTTTGTTTTAAGTTAAAATGATATGAAAAAAATGTTACATCAAAAAGGTTTAATTTTAAAATAAAATCTTCGTTCATTCCGAGCGATATGCAAAGTGTGTCGTAATTTGATATGTATTCAGAGTATACAAAAAAAAAAACATGTATATTAGTCCATTAATATATTTTGTTTCTGAACTGAGGCAGCAAAAGCCACTTGAATAGATCAAGTACCAAACGCACAGAAAACAATGCTAAATCGAGTGATTTGAGTCAATAGAATGTAAGCATGCGTATATTTTAAAAGTAATTTGTTTAAGAACTTCTGTATTTATTATAAAAGAATATAACAACTTTTAAAATTGCTTAATGCTTTCCTTGAGGCTTAATACTTGCTTTTGTGAGTAATACAGTACTTAAGGAAACGGTATTTGTGCTTATTGTTTGTTTTATAGATATTTTATCAAATATCTAATAGAATAGGAATTCTATAACTGTAAACAATTAGTTTTAACTCGCAATAAAAAAACAGCCTTTCCTTGTTGATTTGAAATTTCGTATTCCACGAACCTTTTAATTCCTCCAAAGATGATGCAATCAAAATATTATGTCAACGTTTGAAAATATGCTTACAATTTCATACTAAAATTTTCAATCAAATAAATATTACTATAATTCAATAAAATCAGGTGCGTCTGATACTGAAGTGGCAAAAATAAAATTTTCAAAAAAAAAGAATGAATGCCTTATTTTTAAATAAAAAACTTTAATCAAACGCTGAGTAATTAATACCAATGTTCGTGCAACAAAGCTAATTAGTGCATGATAAACAAATATATCCAAGAAATTAGACATTACAATAAGCACAAACGTAGCAATTGCGACAATAAGATTAGTAGTCTTAACTATCAAATAGAAACCACCGCATTAATTTTAAAATTTCTGAATCAGCATGGTGACACATTCACCAATAATTGGTAAATATAAAATGCAGAATTGATTCTATTATATATTCATTGCGAGAATTTTAACAATTCACTATTCGATACATCTTGCCGATAATCAAAAGTAACTAATAAAATCTTGTATGTAGTATTTATAATAAACTTACTACTATGCCTTTAAAAAAACGGAATCAAATCGGATTATAGAAAATTATATTATCCATAATAATTATATTGTAAAGGCAAATTGTCCAATATAATCTGGATTTTCTAGGCAAACAAGAAATAAATGGCCCTTGATCAAGTAACGTATTATAAAGACAATTTGAACGATTTTTTAAGCAACAAGTCACATGTAAAATTATCCAGCATTTGGTTACGCAACCTATTTTACACACGTGATTGATATATATGACAATACTGATAATGCACATAAAAACGCGTCACAATCATATCGATTGGGATTGAACACCTGGGATTCTGAAAAGCAACAATTTTTTGTTAGGCTGGATGTTCATTATGACTTGGAATAAACTCATTAAATTTTATGACATTTTTTTTTAAATGTAAACCAAATACACGACTGCTAAAGCCATCGAGTGTTAGTGAGGGACCGTGCTATTTTTAATTTTATTAAAACGTTTCCAAAAGAAGCATGTATTAAGCAAGTGTAATGTTCCATTATGCTCAGTACTTATGTGAATAATTTAAATAAGCATATAATATATATATATATATATATATATATTATTTTAGTAGTTGCCGAATAAAAATATTAGTTAATTTAATTCAATAAATTAACTGATACACTAAGTAATCGTACAATAATCACGAGAGCGTCAGGTAAAATATCACAAGGTGTAAACACGAATGAGGCTCACATGACACCGCGTGACGTGACTACACCCAGATCAATTGTGAAAGAATAAAGATTCACAAGAATTAAATGTTAAAATACCACACATTCTGTATGAAAAGCCTACATATCTTATAAAGCAATGATTAGTCAAATCGACTAACAATTCAATGCCTTATAAGGATCAAATATAATAAAATGTCCCTGTCTGTCAAACTGAACATGTGATGTGTCATGGACTTGTGATCTTATTTTCTAAATCGTACTTTAATAAACGAAGAATAATTAATTGCAATGCATAAAAACGGATTCTTATTCGTTGTTTCCATATTTCGGTAATAATTATAACAGCGTTAGCAATTTATAGAATTGTGCAAATACCCTCATATCTATGAATTAACCATATATTTAAGTTTCAAGCTTAAATTCATCAAAAAAGTAATTTTGAAGCATGAAAACATGCAATAAAATATGTTTAAAAGTCTATAAAGGCATTCGCTCTCATTAAATCGATATTTTACTCATGGATCAAAATGAAAAGACCTACCGCTGAAAATGATAGCCGACGCTGCGCCCATGACTCCAAAGAAAGGTCCATAGATTGGATTTTCTTCTGGTAGAACTGATGAAGACATTTTGTAATTTATGCGGAGTATTTACAGGTCCAAGAAAGAATCTGATTGAAGTATCTTCACACACTCACTTCACTAAACTAGCGAACCCACTGTCAAAAATGGCCTGCTAGACACAGTTCAGCAGAATGGTCATATGACGAACTGTTCATGTGAGAATGTGAAGACGAATTCTGATTGGTCCGAATTTAATCTATAAGTCCCCACTAGGCCAATCACGTGGCCTTTTCATGGCGTAGTTTCACTACATTCCGTCGATTTAGCAGGTTTCCCACCTAAAAAATGATTAGTAAAAAATTAAAGATTTGTCAAAACTAAACCTTTATTTTAATAAATTTCTTTAGATTTTATTTAATGCGTTATATTAATTTATTGATTTTCAATATCGCAGGAAAATTATATTACAAAGATTTCATACGAATATCGTAGTTTAATTTAATTGTTGTTGGCGGCAATGCCGATGGTATATTAGAGCGCTTTATTTGATTTTATAAAATTATCTTATTATAGTATAATAGTTATTTTCAACCATATAATTAGACATGTTTTATTATAAAATGACATAATCGAATTAAATGCATGTGATGTGAATAGCATTTTTCCACTAAATACAATTGTGTTAATTAGTCAAATAAACAAAAGAGTGGGCATTGAAGTTGTTGAATGGAAAATACAAACTCTATTACATAAATATATTAGATATTTATATAAGCGCAAATTTTTAATATTAAATGAGACAATTTTACTGCTAACAAACCTGTCAAATAAATTAACTATTACATCTATCAAAAACCTTTTCAGTTTTATATGAAAACAAGTATCATAGAATGCTTACAGAGTCAATTTCTGATTTTTTATAGAAGAAACATAATTTTTAATCTTTTAGAAGTATTCCCACTACAACAATTATAATAACATTCATAAATGTAATATTGAAGTCAATGTAGTGAAAAATGAATAAGAGCTTGTCTATTAACAAATTTACAGTGATTTTCAAATTAAATGTAAATATATGTGATTTTTTAAGGCATTTTGATCTTCAAACTATAAATAATTAATCTGAAAAAGCATCGATTTACACTACCTGAACATTAAACACAATACTGAAAAAAAAGAGTTAAAATCAAAAAAAAAATTGAGGTACTAAATTATTTATTAATAATAATTTTAAAATTTGAAATAGCATATAATAAAACATTCACAATTAATTAGTCTAATGCTTTTCTAAAGCAGAAGTGAGCAATTCATTCATTGAAGTTAAAAGAATCCTTGGATCCAAAACTAGGCCTGCTCCAACCATAGCATTACTGAACAACTGCAATTTAATTGGATTAATAATATGTTAAAAAATAATGTACAGCAAAATATAAAATATTTTATGTCACTAATGGATCAATTATGATTTAAACAATGGTATTTCCATATTTTGAGGTAATTGTAATTAAATATAGTTGTTATAACAATACATTCTGTGCAGAGTCTGTATAGAAGTCTATTTTATTAGTAACATATGAGATAAAAAAAATTCTTTTGAATTTCATACCTGTTGTATTACCAAGTCTGCCAACATTGGATTACTTGTTGTTAATTGGTGCAATTTTTTTATTAATGGATGTCTAAAAGAAATTTTAAATATAAAAACCAAAACAAATTATGAGAATATTATCATTATTATGAATACTTTTATTAAATCATTTGAAATAGCATTCCAATAATAAATATTTAAAATGGACCCTTACTTTGCATTAATTTCCAGCTGTGGTTGTAAAAGTGAATATCTTCTTTGTTCAGGTAACTGATGACTTTGTGTCCTAATAAAATGTCTTGCTGCAGCCATTTCTTCTACGGTCACTACACATGGATGTTTATCGAGTCTGTTTGTAATCTTTACAGAAAAAACTTTGCCTGATAATTTTTCTTTGATCCATTTTATCAATTCATCTACTTCACTGCGTTTTAAACTATCTTCTCCTGCAATATAAAAATATATTGCAAGTTTCTTAATAGATTTGATAAGTAAAAGGATAAATTTTCTTTACAGATTCGATTTCACAAATATATTTTAAATACCTTTAACAAAGTAATAAAAAATTACAAATAACAATATATAATAAAAAAACTGCCAATCAGAAAAATAAAATGTTTAGGATCTGCAAATTTGCTGCTAAACAAATTTACATGACTGTAAAAATTAAATTGATTTTGTTGTCAAATATATCATGCATATTAAAAAGTGGTTTAGGAACAATATTACATTATTTTTAATCAAAAATTACCTATAAACTATCTAATCAATTTCATAAAATTTTAAAAATGCTTAAGAATAGATTGGATTTTCAACACATTACTTACCTAGTTGAGACATATCAGCAGATGCTTTGTCTTGATGCATATCTTTTTCAACAGAAGTTAATGTATGCCCTAGAAAACCTTTCAACTGCATTAAAACAATTTCATCATAAGGTTCAAAACAAAACAGGACTTCAATTCCCTTCTTTTTAAGGGCCTCAAAATATGGTGAGCTTTCAGCTAAGATTCGACTGTAAATAAAATATATATTTGTAGATTTGTATTTAAATTGTATGAACAATTCGATTTGTCATACTTACTTTGGCGCTTCTAAGTAGTAAATTTCCTTTTGACCTTCTTTCATGCGAGAACAATATTCTGCCAGACTTATTCTTGTTTCTGGATCAACATTGGATGACTCAAATCTTAATAGTTTACCAATTTCTTCCTGAAAAAAATAAAAACACATTCAGAATTGTTTTATTCAAATTAACAAACATGACAATTAAGTATTAATCCTTTACCTTTTTATTTTTAATCTAAAGTTTATATATTGGGCAATAAAAGTTAAATCTCATAAGCTAGAAATCTAGAAATTACCTTTTCCATTTGTTCATGACTCATAATAATTCCTTCTTTCAAAAATAAACTATAATCTGTATAGAAGTCATCAAATTCATCTTTATTTTTCACCGATTGATCATGTAGAAATCGGAGAATTCTGTTTGTAATTACAGTTCTTAACTTCCTAATAAGTGCACTATTTTGTAATAATTCTCTGCTCAGGTTTAAAGGTATATCTTCAGAATCAACAACACCTGCAATAAACAAATGTTTAAATTCAATAGAATATAATTCAATAAAAATATGATGAACTTTATCCTACCTTTAACAAATCTCAACCATTTAGGCAATAATGTATCAGTCTTATTTTTTATCAACACTTTTCTTGAATAAAGGGCTACACCACTTTCTTGATCACGGCTCAAATCAAATAGGCCAGGCTTCCCATCAGGAAAATATAGCAAAGCTCTTATAGATAATGGAACATCGGTCTTGTAATGAAGAACAAATCTTGGCTTATCATAACTATTTGCAATAAAACGATAAAAATCATTATGTTGCTCTTGTTTCACATCTTTAGGTTCCATGAGCCATAAAGCCTATAAAATATTATTTTATATCAATAATCATACAATTTCTCACAAAATCAAAATACTTGGGGTTTAGTACCTCAATATTATTGGCTTTTTGTCCATTTAAATATATTGGATTTCCAACAAAATTACTGTACTTCTTAATAACCTCTGTAATATAATATGTTCACCATTAATATTTTAAATCTGAATAAAAACTATATTTTCATCATACCATAAGAAATGCTATTTCTAATAACTTTACGTTTTTATATTGAATTAATACACCATTTCTGTGATCTTTTAAAAATATAATTTGTGTGCTCTAATGATTTTATTCAACTTGTAATGATGTTATTTTGTTTTCATCTTTACATTTATCATATTACCATTCAAACAATTTAAACACGAAGGTAAAAATATGAGTTTAAAAAAGAGAATTAATCTAGAGCACTTAAATATATTCATATTATATATATATATATATATATATAAGTGTGTGTGTATATATATATATATATTTCAGCAATAATTAAAATTTAAATTGAGATTTAATTTGCTAACCGCTGATCGTTGTATCATCAGCATATTCTCGACAATCAGCTTTAAGAGTTATGACTATTTTGGTTCCCAAATGGACTCCCTCTGCTTCCTGTATTTCATAACTTCCAGAGCCATCTGAACTCCATTTTAGTCCTACGGATCCGGATTTTGATGATTTGGTATATACATCAACCTGAATAATTAATCTTATTATTTTATAACTCATTTCTATTTACAATGATATAAGTTTTTAATTATCAGATTGTTGCTTGCAAATCACTATAAAAAAAGCAGAAATAACATAAATAAAAAAAAGGTGTTTCTTAGAACTAACAAAGCGTTGTGTATAGATTGCTTAATAAAATATAAAATAAATATTTAAAAAGCGTGAGTAGTAAAGCATATATTTGTTCAATATTTGAAAATGTTTTACCTTATCAGCAACCATGAAAGCTGAGTAAAAACCAACCCCAAATTGTCCAATAATATTAGATGCATTATTAGAACCTTCATTTTTCAGTTTTTCTAAGAAGGCTTTCGAACCAGATCTTGCAATAGTTCCTAAATTTGCTATAAGTTCATCTTTTGTCATCCCAATACCCGTATCCTAAAAATAACAGTTATTATCTTATGTATTTGCAAATTGAAATAGCCTTAATGCTATAATCCCTGCATTATTAGAGAAAAGTTTGTTTTAATAAATATCCATGTTAAATAAAATATGTATTAGATTCAATTAAAAGAAAAGCTAATATTTAACATACTTGTATAGTTAAAGTTCTTGCATTTTTATCACACCCAATGTGAATTTCTAGTGCTCTACTGGAATCCTCTAGGTCAACATTATTTACACGTTCATACCTAAATTTCTCAAGGGCATCACTTGCATTAGAAATCAATTCACGAACAAAAACCTATAATTAAAAAAAACGTAAGTAATAAAAAAAATTGCCCATATAATGACTTAAATAATTTACTTCTTTTTCTGAATAAAGTGATCTAGCAACTGTGTCAAGAAGCATTTTAGTATCTGCCTGAAATTCATGCTTATGCAGGTCACCAACACCTTTTTCAGTATCTTTAATAATAAAATTATTTTCTTTTGCAGCAATATGTTCATCTGGTTTTACTTCTGTGCTTTCATGTCTTATTAAAAATGTGTTATGGACTGCGGAAACAAAAATTGTTATGTTTGAATTTGCACTTTCTTTTTTGACGTGCATAATTACCTGTTAAATGATTTTGTTTGTTTACTCGTGTAATTTGCCTGCATATATTTTTGCGTAAAATATACTTTCCAGTCTGAGATAAATTTATAAGTTTCGTTAGAGAAGACATAATTTTATTTAAAAGAAATTTAGTTTTACGTCAAAAAATGTTTGAGCGATCGAATTTTGTTTAAATTTAGTTTGGATGCACACTTTTAATCATTTATAAAAATTTCTCGAACAATTTTGGCGCAACAATACGTTCTCGGCTATTTTCTCGAACAGGTTATCTTACTGATTTCTTTCAAATTTAATTCATAACTATTTCATAACCTCACATTCTTACAGCATTCATAGTGGGGGCACTAGTAAACTTAAACATATTATTTATATTTTTGCTGACCACTTTTTTGTAGACAATATTAGAATATGATGTATTCATATGCCATCAGGGTTTTTGACATGAACGATCAACTTGATATTAATAAGAGCAGGGGCGTAGCGTGCCTTGGCGGCGCCTCGTATCAAAATTTGTTTGGAGGCTCCCCTCAAGAAGAAATTCTCTTTTTACAAAATATAAAAATACATAAAATTAAAAGAATATTTATTTATCATTCTTATTATTTATCTATCTAATTTTCTCCTATATTCTGAATTTTTCACAAATGATTGCAGATATATATTCCCATCATAAGAAGAGTATATATTTTTTTGAAAAATTAAATTATTTAATAATCTTCAAATTTTATAAAGATTCCGTCACTAGGAACATTCAGGTCTGGTTTTAAAGTTCCTAAAGTTTTTACGTAATTTTTAATTAGTTTCAATTTTAAAAATTTCTTTTAGCAGTTGCGATTGTAACTGGAAGGGCCAAGAGAAAAATGCATGCTGCTATTTCGTTGGGAAAACTGGATGCAAGCCTGCACATTTCTTAGATTTTTGAATTCAAACCTATTTCTAGAGCCATCAATTGGTCATGATCTTATGAGATATTTTTATAGTATTTCTTAGCTGTAATTAAATCGACAGATTTCCGGAAACGTTTATTAATTCTCCATTTCAAAAAGACAAATGTTGCTATTTACGTCGCGAAGTTTTTGAAATCCTTGTTTGGTTTGTGAAATTAATAGATCTTGTGATAACTCATCATAATAACTTTGTGATAACTCATCATAATAACGCTTCATTATCTTTTGTCTTTTGTTCTTTGAAATAGTTACTGCAATCCATCTTTTTTGCAAAATATTTCGACTTCTTTAGCTAACTAATTCACTAAATTTTCATGTTTTATAAAACTATAATTTAATTGTACAAAATTATAATTTGCACAGTCTATTCAAAAGATTACTTAATAAAATGCTAGTTTTTTATAAGTCATATTGTAAAATTTTATAATTGAAACTACTTATATAAGGAATTTTGCAAGAGATAAATTAAATTAATAGGTTTTACCATTCATCAGCAGAGATTAATATTTAGGTATAATATTTGTAAAAACGTACTAATGAAATTTGTATTTGGCATTGGGTAAATAATGTAGCTTTCATTTTTGAAAATTCCTCATAATTTAAAATGAGACATTGGGTGTATTTGCACCCTATGGGGTAAAAGAGTAGAAAAAAGAAATTTTTTTAAAAAATGGCAAATAAATATATTTCTATACTTGGGCAATAATGGAAAATTTTCTGAACATATTTTTATAATTAATTTTTTCATATGTGTTATGTGCTGTATATTATTTAGGTTTTACAGCATAATAATTTGAAACAGCGAAGAAAGAAATCTAAAAATGATTTAGTTGATCTTATTTATCAAAATCTAACTATATTAAACTTGCGCGTCATGCAGACAATTCAAGTAGTAACAAAAACAAATATAAAAATGTTACAAATATAACTATAAAAATTTCAATTTTCGATGAAGAATGTATAAACTGGATTAGTTTTATAGATTTGTTGACAAGAATATTAAATTATCGTATGTGCGAAAACTTTACTAATTGAATTGATTGCTAGAGCTTGCAGAAATATTGCAGCAGAAATGTTCAAGTTCAATACCTCTTGACAGTGGCGTCGGAACGAAATTTTTGATGGGTGGGCTCGTCTTTTTTTTTTTTTAGATAGCCAGTGGTCCCGTTTTTTTTTTTTTTTTAGAGATATTAGCCCATATAATTTTTTGAAATTGATGCCCACACAGCCCACGCGGTTCCGACGCCACTGCCTCTTGATAACAAAAGAAAAAGCAAACTACCTTAAAATTATTCAATTTAAAAAAAATGTTGTTTTGATTTCTAATTGCGCTCGTTGCCCCCCCCCCCCAGCTCAGGAACCACGTATTTTTGATACGGCTGATTTGGGTTAGTTACGCACCTGAATAAGAGAAAATGGGGTTCCATGATATTGGGCCTCAGCACCACATGTTAATATCTAGTTTTACTTATCTATGATCTAGTTACTTATATTTTACTATAATAAAAAGTAAATATTTATAAATGAACCTAATAAGTAACTATAGTTAAAAGTGGCGTTTCGCTTGAGGCAATTTGCATGAACTTCTCGAAATGTGTATTTCGGATTTAATCAACCGAATTTGAGATTTAGATTTTTAGATGAGCCGTTCAGTGCACACATCGACTAACTCCAAAAAACAGAAAGTGGAGAAAAGCGATGAAGTAATGCACATTGCTTTTAAAAATTCCTGTAATAATATAAGTTGGAAAATATAATGTAGAACGTATAAATACATATATAGCTTACATGTGACGGTATATAAGGTTAATTACAGTAAATAGTGAGTAAATAATTATAATTCAAGTTAAAGATTTGATATGACTTGTGGAGTTAATCAAGTTGTCAACTGAAAAAAAAAATAATAAACCTAATTCTTATATATTTATGTTAAAGCATTTTCATAAAAATAAATGTTAATTGTTGTAATATATTATTTGTGATTAATCAGCAATTCTATAAATAATATTTTCTCTATCAGCTGTATTCTATTATGATTAGAATAATTTCTGACAATTTTTCGTAGTGGGGGGAATGAATTTTAGCAAGTCCTTTATGTCTCTCAATTTTTCCTTTTTTAAAGTTCTAGCTTTATAATATAATAATGACTATTGTATATTATTCAAACATTTTGGTCAACCTGGTACAGACTTTCTTATATTAATAGCTTTAAAATATCTTCATTATAGACACATTTAAATTATATGAGATTGGCTTATATAAGATTTCTAACTTTATAAATTTACTGGACACTCTGTAATGGTTACTTTTCTGTTAGTGATTGTTCTAATGGCTTTGTTGATAAAAAATCTTCGTGGAATATTTGGATTAGCTAAAATGGCACTTTCCTTTTACATGTTTTTATTATATTGTACCAATTATCTAGTGAAAAAATGTCTCGATTTTTTTGCACGTGACTCAATAATCTAGAGTCAATAGGTAAATAGCTATTTCCACTGACCAGAAATTTCATTTCAATTGACTTAGCTCTTATTTCCGTATTTTAAACAAGTTTCAATAAACTTAACACAGTTTTAATATTTCTGTTTTGCCGGGTACACGAATTTTAGTATGTAAGTTTGTAACATCCTTGAGACTCTACAGTTTTTTGCCAAACAATCTTAGGGTTTATGTTTTTATCAAATCCTTATTTGTAATTCATGAAACCCGAAAACCGGTCCAGCCGGAACATATGCACTACAAAATGGAGTTAATCAAAATGTCTTCTGAAATAAATGAGTTATTATTCAGCTGTTAAAAAAAAATTATGTTTCACAGTGTTAATTTTAATTATTCCGAAAAGTCATTATTATCACTAACAGTTATGATTACACTGAGTACTTTCGCACTAATATCTCAGTTTTTTCAAAAAGTCGACTGAGCGGCTCAGATAATATTTCAACTAAGGTAAACGTACCATATTACGGGATGTTAAGGAACGTTTGACTTTAAAGACGAATTTTAGAGAAAATAGGAAAGTGGACGAACTAAATCTGTTATATTTTATTAATTAGACCTTTAAGATTACTATAAAACAAGATTTTTTGTCGTAGAACGTCATTTATAGAAATAATCGGCTTTGATCACAAAAGCAACTTTTGATACAAATTTTGACTATAATATTTTTTCAAACTTTGATGAATTATTAAAATTAAACTACTTGCCGTAAAAACGTAAAATTGTTCAGGATCATGCTATCTATTGACATAAAAAGTTTCTCTTTTAGATACCATAGTCTTGTCGATCATTCTAAAATATTACGGCCCTACGACAAATCGTTTAATTTTAAAAATTCTTCAAAGTTTGCAAAAATTAATATTGTTTTTTTGGCATTTGTCAAAATTAGACTTTTGATCGACGTTTTCTCAAAAACGCCTGAACCGATTTCAAAAATTTAAAAACCATTTGATGTATCTCAATGAGGACTATCGTCTGTCAGTTTTGTGTGACGATCTGCCGAGCCGTTTCTTTGAAATTTGAAAAAAAGTGTTAAACTTTTCGTCCACATTTAAGCTCATTCTACCGAATCGATTTTAAAAAATCAAAAACTGTTCGAAAGATATAAGTTAGGAATAATACTGATTAGTTTTAGGTGTGTGGGAGTTGTGTGATTATGATAATATATTTAATTAGAAACTCCCAACATAATAAAAAAATATAAATTTATTAACTGTAAAAATATTTCGATATCAAAAATATACATGACATGTCCGATTGTTTTTTTACAAAAAACCAGCCTGCTTGATATCGCCACACACTCCCTGCCCAGTGTTGATCTCACAGTTTAAAAAAAAAAATACAGGGAAACACGTTATAAAAATGTGGTGGGAAAGCAGATTATAGCAGACCAGTGTTGTAATACTGGTCAATTACAAATTTCCATGTTTCGTCAGCAGATCCACCGTATGTGGTGATTTGACCTGCCATCAACTCCATATTCTGCATAATGTTCTCGATCTAATGGGTATTAGTTATATCAGAATAACTTAATGTTTAGAATGCATAATTTATGGGTACAGTTTCCATTTCTGCAAGCGTTGCATTCGTATCTGATGAGTTCCGATCAGAGAAAGAAGTTGGCTCTTTATCCAAATCAGGATCATTGGTTTCTTTGACATAAGAGTCCAGAATTGTGGAATCCAATAAATTATGTCAAATTTTGTTTTGATTCGTCGTTGTCACCGATGTGGGAGTTGTAATGATTATGATAATATATTTAATTAGAAACTCCCAACATAATAAAAAAATATAAATTTATTAACTGTAAAAATATTTCGATATCAAAAATATACATGACATGTCCGATTGTTTTTTTACAAAAAACCAGTCTGCTTGATATCGCCACAGGTGAAAATCTACCGAGCCGT